GTTGGGTGGCTGCAGCCATCGTGGTCTCAGGAAGGCTCCCAGGGATGCTTTTTCAGCTGTGCTGTAGTTATACTTCAACCATGTCAAACTTCTGCGTGTCGCCCTGTCTCTCCCGTCCCGGCAGTAGCTGTAGAAGACTGCCTAGGAGCAAGCCAGCTGATGCCATCTGACATTCCACCGGGATAAAGGAAATCTGAGCACATCAGCCAGACACCAGCATCTCCGCGAGGTGGTGGCAGAGGAGGGTTTTTCCCAGTACGTCAGTTATCTACCGGCACGCTGCGTTCATGCTGTACCTTGCTGCTACCTGGTTTTTCAGGCTGCTGGTGTCCTTGAGCAAGTGCTGTCAGCTGGCTTGTGCTGCTCTTCAATGTGAGAGATGTCTGCTTGAAACGGGGCTGCAGCCGCTCGTCGCGCCTGTGGCTGGACCTGTGTTCCAGCCTGGGTCTCCCGAGGTGAGAGGTTCACGGTCAAATGGGACACTCCTGAGTTTCAGCCCAATGCAGTAACCCCTGTTGTTTACCTTAACTAGGAGCCCTGAAATATCATTTATACTTCTAGCCTGGGAGCCAGATGTAAAGTTAAGAGACTAGTTTGAGTGTAGCCACCTCTTGCCAGCTTTTAGCGTGCCAAACCTTTTTCATCTCGTGAGGTTTTGTACCCAGCGAAGGCAAAAACTGCTTTTCCCCAAACCTGCCAACTCCAAGTGAGCGTCTGGAGTTAAGGGAGCAGGTCAAAAAGCAGACCACGGCCTGGTCCTGCGGTGTGCTGCCGCCTACCTAATTCCAAAGCGGGTGAAACCTGCAGACTACAGGGCCCAGCATCCTCTGCTTCGTTATGCACATCCTCTAATCAACTTAACGACCAAGATCTGCCTGCTGGGGCCGGTAGTCCTGGGCCTTGTTTCCTAGGCTTACCTGGGAGCGGTGTTAAGTAAAAAGCTAGTCATGCTGGAAGGTTATTAGTGTGCTTACCTCAACTAGGTGTGTCTTGAACTTCCCTGGTGTGATTTAGTAAGGAATAAGATACCTGCAAAATAATCTTAAAGTCTCCTGGAGCTGCTGTCCTTATAACAGAGCCGTCAAAGGTGTCCCAGCAGGAACCACAACCGGCGGCTGATGTCTGAGCGCATCACGGGGCAGGATTTGAGACGTGTTTCAGCTGGCCAGGGCCTGCACGCCTAAGGGTCCGAACAAGCCCAGGGAAGCACCGTGACGCTCCGCTTCGTTCTCTGAAAGCACAGAACCATCAAGGGCAAGCTAGAGGTCGGGTTTCCTTGGCCTGTTTGCCCGTAGGACCTAAGCCTTCTGCACTCTTCAGGGCAGACGTGATTTGAAATGGTTCTGGGGTGGGAATTGCGGTTGTCCAGCAAATGGGGCTGTTTGGGCTCCAGAGGAGGTGAGGAAGGGTCTGTGGGTGTGTGTGGAGCTGGGATCAGGCGGGCCACTTTTTTTTTTTTTTCCTCCCCCCCCCCGTTGGGTTTTGGCACCGGCCTTTTTTTGGGGGTGTGTGTGGAGCTGGGATCAGGGGGGCCCTTTTTTTTTTTTTTTTCTTCCCCCCCCCCCGTTGGATTTGTGCACCGGCCAACCAGGAAAGCCCCGTCTTTGCGTGCTGCCTGGCAAACCTCTGAGTGTGTTTTGTCAGGGCTCTCCCTCCCCAGCTGGGACAAACGCAGCAGCGAGCGGCGCTTTCTGAAGCGGGTACTGAACTGGGCCGATTGGTGATGGGGAGAAGAGCTCTCGGTGCTCTGACACCCAGAGATGAACACCTCCCCGCTGTCTGTGCGTGCCGTGCTGCCCCTGGGAGCGCAGCAAGGTCTCCCGTGGGTTAACAGGAGCTGAGACCTATGGGAGCTGGTTGTGCCCCAAAGGTGGGGCCAGCAGGGCTCCGCCTGCCCATGCGGAGAGCCCAAAACACCCAGATAAGGTCTTCAGCTAACAGCAAACGGACCTGCTCCATTCTTTCTCTCCATGGGCATCTTGCGGTGTGGCCATGCCAGGGCCAGTCGGCTCCATCCTTCCCAGGCAGCTCTTTTGGACTGTTTCAGACCGCCAGCACGGAGGTGAGACGCGTGGGGAGAGGGTTGTGGATGGAGGGAGAGACTTCATTCCTCCCAGGAGCTGAAAGCATGGCCGGGCCCCGGTTAGCTTTTGGCTTTCAGCAGAAGTGCAGGGTGCTGGGGTGATGCTCCCAGAAGCCTGGGATGTGTTCCTGCCTGGGGAAGTTGTGTTTGAAATGGGCCTTTCCTGAAACGCTCGGGCTTTTCAGCAAAAGCCGAGCATGAGGATGTCTCTCGTGTGTGTCCCTAAATCCCGTACAGGGCAGGTCCCCTCTCCCCTGCACTGTGCCCTCATTTTAAAACTGAGAGCACCACGCGGCGTTAAGTGATTTAGTGATTTTTAAGGGAAAGCACTTTATAAGGTGTGCCTACCCTCCGAGATAACGCAGCCAGGTACTTTTCTCCCAGTAATACCTCCACATCTCTAACTTCAAGCTCTGGTGCGTCTCGAAAGAGCCGGTCTCGGTTTAGAGGCAGAGTGACGGAGGGTTTGGGAGTTTGAGCCCCTGGATTTGCGCTGGGAGCAGTAGGACACGTGGCCCCACAGCTCTTCCCAGCTGGTGCGTTGTACCAGTCCGGCCCTGGCAGTGGGAAATTCAGAGTCTCCCGGGAAATATGCTGTTTGGTTTCTGCGGGTGGCACCTCTTTTTGTCTTTTTTTTTTTTCTTTTTCCTTTTTTAAAAAGCATCCTTACGCGTTTATGCAAGTGTGTCCGTAACAACCTGTAAGTAAAATTAGTTTTATCTTTGTATTGTTAAAAACAGTGAAAGAAAGTACTCCCGTTTGCTTATCCCCGTGTCCGTGGGTGGCTTAAGACAAAGGACTGCAAACACACAGCCCTTTTCCAGAGCGATTAATCGTCGGGGCCTTTGGAGAATGTTGGTTTCGGGGCTCTTTCTGAGATGCCCCGTTCAGGAGCAGCCTGTTATTCCTGCCTTGCAGATGAGGAGTTTGTGCCCCTATTGTGTTCAAGTTTTTTTTTTTGGGGGTGGGGGCGGATTTGGAAAGCTAAGCAGAGTTAATGAGGTGTTAACAGCGGGGAGAGGTAAGCTTCTCTGCCTGCTTGGGAATGGATCAACCTTCTTGAAAGTGTGAGGCTAAACTTACAGGGAGTGGGGGGAAAAAAATGTCCCTTTTCAAAAAGAGTGTCCCCACGTGCTCTTGTACTCGTTGAACTAATTAGTTTAAAAAGTCTCTTTAAAGCAGTGCCTCTGTATGAGGGAGTCCTTTCTCTTTCACAGGCGCTGTTTAAATAGATAAGGCCAAAAAGAAGAGAGGGACCAGCCCAGCAATGTAGTGATCAGACTGATGGATGGCTAATACCGGGCTGTAACTCGCTGGAAAATATCCCGGGTGTGTTTTAATTCAGCTTTGTAGCGTGCGATGGGCTGGGGGAGCAGGCAGGCCGGGGGCTAAGGGGAAGGTGAGCGAGGGCAGACAGGGCTGGGGTAAAAGAAACCCTCGCCCGCGCAAGGGCTTTCACCGTCAGGGCTCAGTGGGTTTGTATCTCCTGGCTCCGGGGATTTCGTGTGGTCAGAGCAAGCCCTGCCTTCCCCCTGGCTGGTTGGGGGAGGAAGACAGAAGGGAGTGGAGAGTGGCTTTGGGTGAAGTCCGAATCGATGCTGAACGCCGGGGAGGAGATCTGCAGCTCGCTGGGAGCACAGGGAGGGGAATCCGAGACGTTTGCCATCGCTTGGGAAAGGGCACTCTCGCCTTTTCCAGGAGACCCTAAAAGAAGGAAGAAATGAGCTATCGAACTCGCGGGAGGTCATGCAGGGACTGCGATGCGCAGACGTGTGTGCCGGTCACCTCACCGGCAATGGTGTATTTCGGCATCACAGTCCGTGGCTGGGGACCGGCGGTGTTTTTGGGGATGTGATCCTTCTACCAGCGCTGCGACGCCGCTGTGCCTCCCCGCTGCAGGCAGGTGCCAGCTTTCAGGCCCAGATGTGACCAGTAGCTGCCCCGTCCTGTCCCTGGCTGATTGTTGGCACAACAATTGGTGTGACTGCTTTATGATGGGAGCATCCCTAATTGGGGGAAGTCAGCTTGGCTAATTCAGACCAGGTTGACTTTTATCTGAGGGGATTTAGGGAGTGTTCCCACGAATGGCTCTGCCAGAGCACAGTCGGTCTCTGGAGGGCTGGTTAACAGCTGGGGACAGTAATTTCTTCCAGATCCAGCGATGCTAGAAGAGGATGTCTGTCAGGAATCCCAGTACAGATGTACTTATGAGACCCTCTAAGAAAAGGGTTACTTCCCCCCTGCTGCTCTCCCACACACAAACAAGGGAATAAATCAACTTTTGTGTACAAGCATAGCCAAAGATGAAAACTTGAGAACTGTCTTGAGAAAAAAAAAAAAAAACACCAACCCTTCTTATATCACTTGGTGTTCTGGCAGGGACTTAAATTCACAAGTGCCTTTACCTCCAGCGCAATGAAATACTGATGCACCTGTAAAAATGGGAAACTGATTCTTTTTCCTTTGCCCCAGTTATACTGAACTATCTCCCCTCCTCCCATGTTTCTGCGTTAGCACTCATTAGGGGTGAATTATCTGTCTCCCGTACAGTGTAACTTGCACAAATCTGTTGGTTGTAGGAGGAGCAAATCTGATGTTTCGGTGGTGTTTTTTGGATCCAGGACAGACATTGCCTAAATAGTTCTTTTCTGGCACGTCTATCTTGACAGTTGATACCAACGGTGCTTTTTTGAGCCAGAGACCTGGTGGATAATATAATCAGTAATACAGGGTCTCTTCTCTCTGGGAGCAGAAGTGTGTAGGCTTCCCAGGGAGCGCCCGCTGCAGGGCAAGCGCTCCCCCGGAGGCCCTGGCTGAGCTGTGCTAGGTTGAGATGAGATTCTGGGAAGCGAGCTGGTTGTTCCTCCTGGGCCATAACTCTTACTTTCCTGGTCTGTTCTCTCCTCAGCGTGGCACGATGAGGCGGCGTTACGAGGACGATGGCATCTCCGATGATGAAATTGAAGGGAAGAGGACGTTTGACCTTGAGGAAAAGCTGTCCACCAACAAGTTTAACTCCACCTTCGTGGTCTTCATGGAAGGCAAAGGTTTGTGTTGGGACTGCTGTGCTGCAGTGTGTGCTACTGCTGTCACTAACTACGCAGCTGCTGTGGCTGGCCGCTTCTCCAGTGAGGCCTGGTGTGCGAGATGACCTTTCCCCAAGCCTTTCGTAGAAAGCGAACAGCGATCACAGTTGGATGTGCTCTTGTGCATCTGACTACACCCAAAGCCTCCCCGACTGCCAACTTGAAGGGCGGTTACAAGGCAATTGAAATGAAATTCAAGGATTAATAAAATCCTTTCCCACTGTCCTGCATTTTGCTGCCTTTTACTTTCCATCCTTCTGTAAAGTTGGGAAAACTCTGCCGTTCGCACCAGTTCCATGCTTTCCTCTGCTGTAAACCAGTTTACTCGCATAACCCAAGCGGTGCAGAGCAGGCAGGGGATGTTTCTGCCTGTTGCCTGGCAAAGTCCTGCGGCAGTCCCCAAGCTGTTTGAAGGTAACGTGAGGCATATTGCTGGAGGATTGGCTCAAGCCTGCTAAGCCCTTGGGCCAGGGGAGCTGGTAAGAGGGGAACATGTGTGGGAAATGGCCTGGAAGCCGCTTGATCTGGAGAGCGACGAGCCGGTCTGCAGCACTGCAGGCTTGCTGGGACACGTGGCAGCCAGGAACGAGAGGGTTCGCCTGGGTCAGCACCTGTAATTGCAGCCACATGTCTACTAGATACTTAATTCAAAGACTATGTGGGATCTCTCCCCTTTCTTTCACCACGCATACGGCTCAGTGGGATGTCTTTTCATCGCACAGCCAGTGCAAGCCTCATGAGGATTTACCGGGAGGGAGGAGCATTTCTTCAAGGCATCTCTTGCTTGGCTGCGAGTTTCTTAGGGAAGTGAGGACCGAAAACCGTGCTGTTCCCCTGTCTGGTGCAGCCAACTCCCCCCTCCCTGGGGGGCCTGTCTGAGGCTTGTCAGCATCACTCACCATGCTGCTCGCAGAACTGCCGTAAAGGAGTTCCAGGATCTCCGAAGGGGTGTGGAAACAGCGAGGAACGGGGCTTTCTTTTGCTGGTTAGCCTTGCCGCAGAGATACGAGGAGGTTCTCGGTTCTCAATTGCACAGGGCCCTGGACAATCCGATCTGAGTCTGAAGTCAGTTTGCTGGGAACAGGGTTGGACTAGAGATCTCCAGAGATCCTTTCTAACCTCGGTTTGTCTATAGCCCTCTGAAGGAGTCTCCCCTAACACCTTCCTCCTTGTCTCCCCACACCAGACTTCACAGTTGAATACATCCAGCGGGGCGGCCTGAGAGACCCTCTCATCTTCAGGAGCTCTGACGGCTTGGGGATAAAGTAAGTGTTAGGGGCACGGAGTGGTGGATGACTCTGGCCCGATTTTTTGCCTCTCTCCACATTGTGCGGGATCTGATCCCGGTAGCTGGATCTGCGCTCTGCCAAGGTGGTATGACTGTGTCCTGTCCACGCTGTTCTTTATGTGCGTTGAGCAGAGAGAAGCGGCTTCCACCTCAGTTATCCTGTTCTTAGTAGTCTGTTTGAACGTAAAATGAGAGGACTGAATTGGCTGTAGGTGATCACAATTCAACCAAACGTCTGGAAAGTTCTGCTGCTGCTCTGATGCAACATCTGTGTGGGGTTTTTTTCTTCGTAATACAGGCATCTATTGCCAGAGAGTCAAGCAGTTTGTAGTATTTCTGGCATTTTCCGGAATTCCAACCTTATTTGCCCAACACGATTACTTCTAAACTGTCATCTCTCTCTCTTACTGCAGTACATCAATTAAGGTTTACAGCTTTGAGGGTAAAGCTGTACTGATGATGTTTTATGATGTTCATATAAATACACTGTGGGGTGGTAGATGTAGTTTTAAGGCGAGTAGTACTGCATCAAAACATTACAGCTGTCTTTTACAAAATTAAAAAAAAAAATAATGGTCCGATCCAGTGTTCCTGCTGGGTGCAGTGTGGTTTTGGTTTTGATTAATTTGAAAGTGAGTGGAATAAATTAGCCCTAGCAAACTTGGTCAGAGCCAGTATCAGCACCGCTGCCCTTAACTCCCTTCACTGGCTGTGAATGGATGGGCAACACCTCACCCGGTGCGTGGTGTACTGTACTGTGATGAATTAGATAAGAAATTGTTCCGGGCTCGGTTTTAACTGCTAGGTGACTTGGGAGGGCACAGATTTGATACTGAGAATTACAGTGTGGGTGAAACTGGATTTCTCCTGAGCTTTTGGTTATTTCTCTGGGTCAAGAGCTGCTTGAATGGCTGCCCGCCCGTTCTGCCTGTGACAGCAGTGTTTGTACAGATGAGTATGCCAGTACAAACAGTCAGAGTAGTTATGCTGCGTCAGTGAAATATACTGCTTGTACTGGTCCGGCTATGTCCTTTTTATTGGGATAACTCATACGAGCAGTCTTGAAAATGAGCTAGGATTGCTTGAGCTCAAGGCCTGCTTGCTCGTTTGCCAGAAGCCACTGTACAACAGCTCATGCTCTAGAGATGGTATATCCTACTCCCAAATCTGCTTCCCTTGCCAGAAGTTGAGCCCGATGTTTCACTCCAGCACTCAGCCCAGACCTGTGCCCCCAGAGATCTAGTTGGCGTGGTCTTCACCCACACTCAAGAGGCGAAAAGAAGCATAATAGTATCTTCAGGGTGCCAACAGCGGGGGTTATAGGTGGGAAGGGTCTGCAACCAGAAGCGCTTCATGATTTTTTTTAGCAAGGTGTTTGTCCTGCAGGATGCCAGACCCGGACTTCAGCGTGAATGATGTGCGGCTGTGTGTCGGTAAGTGTCTGGGGATCACAGTGTGCCCCTGCTGCGCCCTGGGCAGATAGGGAGGAATGGGGAGAGTCATCCATTTGGTTTATCAAAGCTAGGGGTCTGGTTTTGTGGTTCCCTCAGTGTCTATCTGGTTCAACCTGAGCCGTCCTTTGCCAGTGTATCACAACTCCTATCTAACTGAGGAGTCTAGTTTGACCTGAAGCAGCTTCTGTTTCAACGTGGGTGTGGAAGAACATGAAGTTATGGGAGAGGTCAAGACGTTGCACCTACGTGTGGGTGGGTTCTTGAGGAAGGGTCCCATGTCTCCTGGAGTGTCTCTTCTGGGTGGTCCCCTGTGCACAGGGACGGTTCCAGTGACGCCTGTCTGTTCTGGCAGGGAGCCGACGGATGGTGGATGTCATGGATGTGAACACGCAGAGGGATATTGAGATGTCCATGGCACAGTGGGCACGCTACTACGAAACACCGGAGGCCGAGCGAGAGAAACTTTACAATGTCATCAGCCTGGAGTTCAGCCACACCAAACTGGAGAACCTGGTGCAGAGACCTGCTACGGTGAGCACGGCTCTTCCTTCTGCGGGAACGTCTTCTTCCCTTGCGCTTGTCCTCCGTAGGCAAGGTGCAGCCTGGCACTCGGCTGCAGGAGGAGAGGGACTGCTCGAAAGGTGCATGGGCTCGGGCAGGGATGTCACCGCTGTGCTCTGGAAGCTGCTGGAGCTGATCCTGTGTTTGACACGGACCTCATCTGCTATAGCTGATCTCACGGTCAGGCTGGAGCTGCACGGCCTGTGCATCCTTCAGCTGTAGTGACCGCGGTCAAGTCTCTGGCGTCTCGTTCTGCAGAGAGCTGACTTGTTCACTAGCTGTCAGTAATTAGAGAAATGGAAGTGATTGGATGAGGAGTAATTAGAGTGAAGTAACCTGCTCCTGCTGGCTGGTGATCAAGAACAGGCACAGGTTTGAACCTGAGTTTGAATAAGGAGGTCAGATTTGTGCTCGGCCGCAGTGGATGTCGGGAACAGCACGGGGACACTGGCTTCCATCCTCTCCCAGTTTGCTGATTCCACAGCCTGCCGGGATCTTGGCTGTCGTTCAGCCTTGGCCCTACCATTCCTCTCAGTGCCGTGCACTGCGCTGCTCTGGTGTTGGTGCAGAGCCCTCTCCCGCATCCTGCAGTAGCCATCGGCTCCGTTGTGACCAAAGAGAGGTGCAGGGCAGGGGTGGCTTGCCATAATGCATGGCCAGATGTAAAACTCCGGCATGGCCCGAATCGCACAGCAGAGCTAAACAACGCTTGCTGCGATCTGAGGGAGTAGCTGAAGCCTGGACGCTGGTTGAGCTTTGTGGTTTCCTTGCTGTTTGGAAACCGTGGTCTCGTTAGGACAGCAACCCTGTGTTCAGCTGGGACTCCAGAGGCTTGTGCAGCATGGCAGGGAGGGTTTCTGATGCAACGTGCCGAAATCTCTGAAGGCAGAGGAGGCCAAGACTGGAGGTGCGCTGGAAGAGGGGCAGGAGGCTGTTGGGGGGGGGAGAAAGGATTTGGCCCTTACTGAGGTGTGGAAGGTGGGATGGATGGGATGGGCATCCTGAGCTCCCTCTATAGGCGGTGGAGAGGAAGGGGCAGCTCTGTAGGGCCATTCACTTCTCTCTGTTAACTGTAGAGGGAGCCTGGACATCTCTGCCTGCTCTGGCTCTTCTGAAGCTTAGGGAGTTGAATCCCACCCTAGCAGGTGCTGCTCGGTGTGGTTTTTTTGTAAGCCCAGTGCATGGCAGTTCCTGCCTAGCCCCGAAGCAGAAAAGCAGCATCCCGGTACCACGCTTGGAATCTTGCCGTGGCGTTTGCTGCTTGTGTGAGTTCAGAGGCTCGCTGTACACCAAGCGCCATCAGAACAGCTGGTCCCAAATGCTTTACCTGTGGGATTGCACCAGTGGCATCGGGAAGGTTGGGCAAAAAGGGGGTGTCCTGACCATTAAGCTAACACCGGGGCTTCCTTCCCTTCCTTGGTCCCGTCGTTTGTTGTGGGTGTGCTCGGAGCTGGGCTGGCCGACACTCTGTGCGCAGCACCGCAGTGGCTTTGGTGAGCCCGGTGTGACCCTGCACGCCGCGGGCACCCAGCTGCGTGTGAGCTGTGGGCTTACCAGGCAGGCAATAGAGGTTTGAGCTTTCCCCTTTGCCTGGGGGTAGCAAAAGGGGTTATTGTGCCCCCTTCATCTCTACTCATCTCTCCCACCTTTCTGCTGTAGGTGGATTTGATTGACTGGGTTGATAACATGTGGCCCAGACACCTGAAGGAGAGTCAGACAGAGTCTACGAACGCTATCTTGGAGATGCAGTATCCAAAGGTGCAGAAGTAAGTGATCTCCTGAGCAGTTCCAGTGGGGGCAGGCAGCAAAGCATCTCTTGCAAGAAAACTCCCCAAGGGAGAAGCGCTTTGTACCAAGGCGAAGTGGGAGGAATAGTCTCTCGGTTTATTTCAGTGGGTGACACTTGTAAGGACACTGCAGTTAGTTATTTAAGCCCCTGCTGAAAGCGGGGTGGAAGGGAAGTAGCGTTGCTTCAAGGAACTCGCTGTGCTTTGGGGAAACTCTCGATGCTCAGCCAGTTGAGCTGCTAGACGCTGCCCATCCTGCCCTGTATGCCAGCCCTGTGACATGGGGGTTTCTAGAGCTGCCGGGTATGTGAGGATGAAAGCTCTCCTCTTGCCTGGAGTAGATCTTTTTGTGGGGATGTGATATAAAGGCAAAGTGAGCTCTCCTGCAAACCACCACCTCCGGCAGCTAAAGTGCTTAGCGCTGCAGTAATTGGCTTCTGGCACTGCTCTGAGCCATTGGCCTGGGTTTGGGCAGCCCATTCCCTTTAAATATGTTGTATGTGCTTTAAAATGTGGATCGTTGCTCTTTTTCACTTTATCGTCATCTTATTTTCTGCCAGGTACTGTCTGATGAGCGTCAAGGGCTGCTACACAGATTTCCACGTGGACTTCGGTGGTACCTCTGTGTGGTACCACATCCACCGAGGGGGAAAGGTAGGAGGACAGTCCTTGTTGCGAAGGTTACAGGTGCTTTAGTAAAGTGGCTTTTAGTCTGTTCGCTTGTTGATCCTTGAAGGTACAGATCCCAGACAGCAAATTGAAGTCTTTCTACCCTAAACTTGTTTATCTGTGATTCTTGGAAGTAGTTCAGGCCCTCAGAGGTCCACCAGGCACGGGCTAAAAACCCATGCTGTAGAGATGATGCTGGGACAGCCTTATAAAAGGCTAAATGACATGGAGTAGAATAACCCAGTTCATCGAGTGCCTTGGGCTTCTGAGAGATCATTTGGCTTCATGGCTGGTCACCTCTTGGTGTGGTGCAAATAGCACGCTGGGAGTAGCAGCAGACCGAAGAAAGGTAATTAAAGATAAAATGGAGCCTCTCCTAAAGGGAAGCTGTCCAGGAGTTTTAAATAGCCAAGAGATGTGTGAGGGATCATCTTAAAACATCAAGTGATTTCAAAATCAGAAGCCTTTGAACTAAAGGTGGGTGACAGGTCTTCACTACAGAATCCCAGACTGGTGGGGGTGGGAAGAGCCCTCTGGAGCTCCCCCATCCCACCCCCCGCCAGAGCAGGGGCACCTCCAGCAGTGGCACAGGACGGCGTCCAGGCGGGTTTGGGATGGCTCCGGAGTGGGAGGCTTCACAACCTCTCTGGGCAGCCTGTGCCACTGCTCTGCCGCCCTCACAGCAAAGAAATCCCTCCTCATGTTTAGATGGAACTTCCTATGCTCAAGTTTGTGCCCGTTCCCTCTTGTCCTGTCACTGGGCACCGCTGGAACAAGACTGTCCCCATCCCCCGGCACCCTCCCGTTGAGGATTTATAAGTATTGATGAGATCCCCCCTCAGTCTTCTCTTCTCCAGACTGAAAAGCCCCACGTCCCTCAGCCTTTCCTCAGCAGAAAGATGCTCCGATCCCCTGATCATCTTAGCAGCCCTTTGCTGGACCCTCTCCAGCAGTTCCCCATCCCTCTTGAAAACCCCTTGTCATGGTTTAACCCCAGCTGGTGACTATGCCCAAGAGTAAAGTGAGAAAAAACTTGTGGGTTGAGATAAAGGTAGAGCAAAAGCCACGCACGCAAGTAGAGCAAAACAAGGAATTCATTCACTGCTTCCCGTCGGCAGGCGGGTGTTCAGCCATCTCCAGGAAAGCCGGGCTCCGTCACATGTAACGGTTGCATGGGGAGACAAAGATCATAACTCCAAACGTCCCCTCTTTCCTCCTTCCTCCCCCATCTTTATTTACTGAGCGTGACATCACACGGCATGGAATGTCCCTCTGGTCAGTTGGGGTCAGCTGTCCCGGCTGTGTCCCCTCCCAACTTCTCGTGCCCCCCCCCCAGCCCGCTCCCTGTCTGGTGCGAGGAGCAGAAAAGGCCTTGAGCGCTTAGCGACAGCCGAAAACGTCAGTGTGCTATGAACGCTATTTCTCATCCCAAATCCAAAACGCAGCACTACCCCAGCCCCTAGCAAGAAAGTCAATTCCATCCCAGCTGAAACCGTGACACCTCTCCAATGGTTTCTGGTGAGAAGTGGCTCTGAAACAGCGTCAGATTTGAGCTGCTTGTCTGGAATCGCTTCCTGTAACTCAGCCCAAGATGCGAAAGGTGAACCCCAGGCTCCATCGAGCTTGAGTTTGGTTACAGATTTCATCTGAGTGCAGTGTTTGTTCCTGGATGGGTGGCTTCCAGTTATAATTGCGGAGGGATTTCCCTGTGCCGGGCATCCGTCAGTCCCAGCCGTGTGTGGTACTGGGGCCTGGCTTGGAAGAAATCTGTCTGGAAGGGGATCTGGGAAGGCGCCAAGTCCTCCCGCTTGCCCTTAGGATTGCACCTTACGCTCCCCTTGCAGGTAGGGATGTTGTATTTGTTCTCTCAACTTTCAGAAAACAGATCTGGAATAGTTTGGGTGCTGTATCACTGCAGGGGGTAGCTAGTACTTGAATAACGAAGTCGGACGCCTTAGCTCGCAATTCCGCTACCCTCGAGAGCATAGTCATGTTCCGAGCACGACACTTAAGTCAATCTGAAGTCCTTGCTGGGAAAACTTCCTCTCCAACTGCCGTTGGCTGGATGCGCCCGTTGTCACGGGACTGGGTCTGTGCTTTGGCGTTATCGCTGTAAGAGCGTGGAAGAGCTCGTATTCAGGTTTTTGCTAGCTGCAGTTGTCAGCTCTGCTGTAGTCGAGGAGGCTCTGCGCTGCTGTGTGGGGAGGGTGGCGATGCAGACAGACTTATCTTAGTGCATTTGAATCGATGCAGTCAGAGCAGCAAAATCTGGTGGTAGCTCAGCTCAGTATTTTTAGGAAAAGCTAATGTGGAGGAAAATATCCTGTAGTGCGGGATTTACCAAAGGCAGGTCCCACCTCTTGCCCAGCAAAATGCATCTCAGCTCCGAGCTTAACCCTTGTGAGAGATTAGAAGACACTTCACGGCTTCTGATAAAGACCATCAACCATCTAGGGCTGAATTCATCAAGGAGACGATGGTAAAAAAGGCTGCCTGTGGTGGCTGGACGTCTCCTGAGAAAGAGCCTTGGACATCCTTAGGATAGGGAGCCCTTTCGCTTGTACCTGCTGGGAAGGAACTGTCCATCTGAAGGCGGTTGGATGGGCTCCCTCCGCAGGCGGTGAAGGCAGATCTCTAGGAAAAAAAACAAACCTCTTGTAGCTTCCTCAGGACAAGTCCTGGGCAATTATTCCATCCCATCTTTCTCTGCTGACTTAGACTAGGTTCAGGGAACACAGCGATCTCTGCCCGCCCTGAAGAATCTGGGCTTTTCACTCACTTTTCCTTGTAAAGGAGATGTAGTTGCCAGACTTACCAGCGATTCTGATGGTTTGTGGCTCCAGTGCTTTCTCCCAACGGACGAGCTAACGGTCTCTGAAGAGCCTAGTTGGGGATGGATATCTGCTTGCCACCCGTATCGCAGGGAGCCAGACGGGTGCAAATCTCTAGTTCAGTCGTAGCTCTTACTAACGTGGCAGAAACATGCAGGTAAACATCTCCTTTGTCTCTAACACTCTGGTGTCTTTGGTGGACTCTATATCACTTGACCTTGTGAATAATAATTTACAAAGCTCAGTCTATCTGTGGTGCTCGGTGTGTCGGGTCAGGAAGGACCTTGTTCGGCAGGTTGCCCTCTCAAATAGGACAGCTGTTTAGGTCACTTTACTGGGAATTCCTGCAGATTTGTGTCCTTTGTGGGTGGGGAGAGGAAGAGATTTAGATGTATGGAGAGGGAGTGGGGCCGGTTTGAAAGAAGCAGGGGATAGTCAGTAGCTGTTAATTACATGATGACTTACATACATGTGTTGTCTTTATTTGCAGATCTTCTGGCTGATCCCTCCTACGCCCCAAAACCTGGAGCTCTATGAAAACTGGCTTCTCTCAGGGAAGCAGGGAGACATTTTTCTTGGGGACAGAGTGTCAGAGTGCCAGCGCATCGAGCTCAAGCAGGGCTACACATTTGTCATCCCCTCAGGTACCAGAGGGTAGGCAGGGGCGTCCTGGCCTTTCCCAGGGTTGTGGCAAGAGGCTGAAATTCCTGGGACACGAGCAAAATCAGAATAGGCAGGATTTAGCTTCCTCCTTCATGAGTGACTGGGAGAGGGAGATATGATGCGGCTCTGTCCTCTTGCTTGCCGGCTCCCTAAAACATGCCTGTCATGGCACTGTGGATTCAGCCTAAGTGACAAGAAAGCCGTAGCTGCCTCACATCACGCTTGATCAATTATTAAAGGAGGCTTTCCCAGAGCCCATCATGTTGACATGCGGAGCAGTGCACGTTGAGGACAAGGCAGCACAGCTCCTCGGCTTCCTGGGTGTCTCCTGAAACCTCTGCGGAGTTATGTTCAAATTGTGAAGGAAGGCAGGGGGCCAGTGATGTGAGTTTAAGGAACGAGATGACTGCGCTGGACGCGAGAAAAGACAGTCGAACAGTCTGCATGTACTGGAGATAGGAGGACTGGAAATCGTGTAGCTAGAAGCAGGTGTTGGAAAAGGCTGAAACCCAGTAGGGAGCTGGGGAGCAGTAACATGGAGAGACTTGCAGGTAACTGCTTTGCAGAGGGCATGGACAAGGAGGCTTTGAGGTTGGGAGTGGGAACCCTCTCAAGAGTTAAGAGAAATCTTTAGCCTGACTCGGTTTAGCAAGCAGAATAATTGGAGGGCGTCAGCAATGTCTTGCATGCACAGTTAGTACAGTGCTGTGCTGGAAAACGGCAAAAGCAGAAGAGATGAGGCAGATGAAACAGCAGCTCGGGTTGGCTGTTTGTGAGGACTGGCTCGTGGACATGATGCAGAGCCGGGATGTCTGCAAAGTGGTGTGCTTCCGCTAGGGAATACTCCCTTGTAAGGAGAAAGATCGTTAGACCCCTTTTGAGTCTTCTAATAAAACTGTTGCATAAAAATTGAGTCCGTAAGACTGTCTCAGATGGCAAAGGATGCTGTAACCTGCCATTTCATCTCCAACAGCGGTGGAGGAATAAGCTGTGTTGTACACATGTACCCCTGTAGCTTCCAGCAAGACCGGGGACGAAAAGCACCAGGGGCTGCACGAGTTACTCACTTCTGTCGTGGTACCATGACTGAAACTTCTTGTGAATTGAGTGGCTTTGCCCAAGGGAAACCCATGCTGGAATTCCCAAAATGTTGGGCTTGACTGGATTGCCTTGGAGATAGCAGAGCTGGGTCTAGAGTTGCTTTGAGGGTTCTTTAATTGTTGAACAGACTTTGGAAGACTGGTTTTCCTTGCTGCTGGTGTTTTTAGGCCTAATGCAGCTAGGAAGCAGCTTTGCAGAGACACCAGGATGACAAAGTGCTATGGACAGGAGGTGGATACCGGCACGTGTGCCACCATGGGAGGACAAGAGACCAGATCCATAGGTGTATTTAAGTGTCTAAGCACAAGGCTGCCTCTAGCTCTTAGATGGGTCGAGTGAGCTGCGTATTGAGTCATTTGGTAGTGACGCTTCAGAAAAGGTGAACATCGTTGCTGTACCGCAGCAATGTCCACCCTCCTCAAAGAGCTGGAGTCTACGTGGTCCCTTCCGACCCCCCGGCTGCTGCTAGGGCTGGCTGATGTGACAAGGGGTCCGTAGCTGGTCTGTGTGTTTGCAGCTAACTTGGCTGCGGGTGAAGGGTGCAACTGTCAGGGTGGACTTAGCAGAGCAGCGTGGAGGTTGTGTGGATTCGACGGCCCTGCTCTGAAGAGCACAGCTCGTAAGAGGTTGCGAAGGAATTGGAATTAGTAGGGACTGTCAGTTGTGAGACTCTGACCTCACCCAGTCGCTCAGAAGGATTCTTCAAACTCCGCTTTCTCTCCAAGGTTGGATCCATGCTGTGTACACTCCCATGGACACGCTGGTTTTCGGAGGCAACTTCTTACACAGCTTCAACATCCCTATGCAGCTCCGGATCTACAGCATCGAAGACCGCACGCGGGTAAGGACCTACGGGAGAGCTGGGGGGACGTGACCTTCTGGGATGGTGGGGAGGGCGCAGCCAAGAGCAGTGGTGTGCAGGCAGGCGAGTTCCATCTCACCCTGCGACGGATTGCTCCGACTCCAGCTGTCTGGAAGCGAGATGTCCTAACCTGCTGCAGGTACAGGCAGGAACTTGGGCAGAGAGAGGGACAGCCTGCGATGTGCCCTGAGGCTTGTTGTGTCCCTTCGTACTGCCTCCAGTCTGACACCAGGCTTCCGAAGGGTCTGGAAACTTCGCTGTGAGTGTGATGGGGATCTCCCCTGGCCGCCTGAAGAGAAAGGCGGCAACGTGTCCATGGGAGTGCATCCAGTATGTTGCCTCTTCCCTTACCTGGTTGCTTTCTGCTGCTGCTTGGTGTTGATTTTAGACCTCGGTGTGGTCTAAGATGACTGAAACTAAATGCTTCCTGAGGTCTTGAGCAGAGAATGCTGTTGGCAGGTGGGTGTTCTCGCTTGCTCCTTGTGGAGACGCGGATCCTGTAGTGCTCAGCTCCTTCGGGGAAGCTTCAGGACATGCCTGCGCTGTGACGGACAGACTGTTGGCTGAAGCAGTTCAGGGTGCCGCAGCAGGCAGGACCTGTGGGTTAGCACTCAGATGTCAGACCATCATCCAGAGCAGCTGAGACATATGTAGAGTGTGTGCCTGTGTGGCCTCAGGAAGGCGCGAGGCAAGCAGCACGGTCGGGGGCATCTTCTGCCTGCGTGCAAATCGCTGGCGCCCGTTTGACAGAGCCCCAGTAGCACTCTGCTAAACGGCTGAGCTGGTGACACCTCTCTTAATAGACCAACCCTTTCCCTCCCCCCGTACAAATACTGTCAGATGCTGTGCTGGGGCTTGGGAATAGGGCTTGAACCGTTACCTTCCACTGAAATCTTTTGTGGCATCTGCCACTTTTTTTTTTTTTTTCCTCGTACTAATGAGAAGGAGGTCTGCGGGGGAAGAGCTGCAACCCTAACAAAGAAAAATGAAATGTTAATGGCTTGCGAGTGAGTAGTGCCTGGTCTCTGCCCTGCCTGGTGATAATATCCTTCTGCAAAGAGAATTACATCAGGCTGCCAGAAGCATGAATGATGCTGTTAAACATGTACGTGCGTTTCCTGTCTCTCAGGAGGGGATCGGTCTGGTTTGAGGCAGCAGTAATAAGAGCTCTATCTCCGCGCAGCCCTGTGGTGAAGGAAGCCTGAGCTGATCCCCTTCCCCTTGCCTCTTCTGCAGGTCCCAAATAAGTTTCGTTATCCCTTCTATTACGAGATGTGTTGGTACGTGTTGGAGCGCTACGTCTACTGCATCACCAGCCGCTCCCATCTGACCAAGGACTTCCAGAAGGAATCGCTCAGTATGGGTAAGCATTTATTCCTTCCTCAACCCTATCAAAGGGGTTTCTTCCACCCTCCCGCTGGGGTACTGTCTGGCTCAGCAGCGCGGTGGGCAGCAGAGGGCTCCGAGGGAAGAATTTGGGACCGTCACTTCCTCACTTTCACAAGGTGGTTTCTTTGGGTATTTCCTCCCTTTTCGCTGTTTGTTGGAGGACACCGCAGAATGGCCGAAGGAGATGTGATTTCTTTCTTTTCCTTTGAGCGAGAAGTCAAAACTAGCCAGACTTTTGCTTCCTCTTTTGCCCCTGCAACAGGCCAGGTTCCTTGCAGCTGCAAAACCAGCACACAAGTTCCTGGCCTTGCTGGTACACGCAAAGGCTTTAACAGAAGAGGTAGAGGGAAGTCGCAGTAACCACCGCTGTGCTGCGGGCTGTGCAGCAGTAATGCTTTCTTGCTGATCGGGGCCTTCCTGTGCACAGAATTTTAAAGTGCTGTCAAGGTTACATGGAAGGGAGGGAAGGAGTCTCTCGCAAAAGGAACGTTTGGCCTCCGTACAGCCAAGGCGTGTGGGGCCTGAGCGGTGATTCAAAAGATGATTCCTTAGAGACCCTTCTTCCCAGTGGGAGAGCGCTGGATAGCCTCTACCCAAAGCCCTTGAAGCGAATCTGTCCTCGCCTCGCGTAAGAGGCTGTAGATGCTGATTCCTGGGTGCCTCTCCTCACAGCCTCTTCAGGGCTTTCGATTTCTCTCCGAGGGGCCCTAGCAGAGGGACACAGCTCCCAGCTCTTGTCCTTCTCCTGTGGCCTTCTTGAGATCTCCCTCAGCATTTTGTCTGGGAAAGGCCATCTCCGTCCTCCTCCTGCCTGGGGACCTCCGGCACCTTCATCGCCTTTTCTCTGCCACTGAGCAGTGTGAAGTGGGAGGTAGTGCAGAGAGCTGAAAGGAAGGGAGGGGTGTTTTATTGCACGCAGTCGGGCTCAGAGACCTCACGGTCATCTAGTGAGTCCACATCCTCTTTTCTCCCATCATGAAGGCAGGATCAAGGTCCCAAGTCACTTGCAGGACTGGATGAATGGAGATCCCAAGTCCTCCAAAGCAAAGTCTGGTCGGACGGGGCGTTGAGCAACCTGGTCTAGTGGAAGGTGTCCCTGGCCATGGCAGGGGGGTTGGATTTGATGATCTTTAAAGGTCCCTTCCAACACAAACAATTCCAGGATTCCATTAAATTCAGTCGAGTGTTGCTCTCTCCTCTTCTGGGAGGTTTTCCCATGTCCTGTGCCTCATCTTCCCACAAAACAAGCCAGGAACGGGAAGGGGTTTTAGCTGTTCTTTTCCAGGCACTATGTGCCCCATCATTTCCTCTCGCTTTGTCCCCGTATGTATCTGTTGCTCCAGCATCTCTGGTAACTGGGGGGATTCCTCATGAAACTGAACGCCTCCTGTGAGCCACTGTGCTCTTCTCTCACTCTTTCTCCATCATGGCAGATATGGAGCTGAGCTCCTCGGACTCGGTAAACATGGAAGAGGAGGAAGAAGAAGAAGAAGAGGAGGATGCAGCAGGGAAGGAACCCAGGCGACCGGTCACAAGGCGGTCCATTCTCACCAGCCCAATAGCCAACGGTGCCAATGTGGACTATGATGAACTGGGCAAGAGCTGCCGGAGCAGCCTGCCGGGTCTGAAGAAGACCCCATCTATAGACTCTTCTGACTCCAGCCGGGGCTCCCAAAACGGCCAGGCCTGGGACCCGAATGGTGGCAGCCCGCGCAAGAGCAGGAAGGTGCACCTGACGCAGTTTGAGCTGGAGGGGCTGCGCTGCCTCGTGGACAAACTGGAGTCGCTCCCTCTGCACAAGAAGTGCGTTCCCACCGGCATTGAGGATGAGGACGCCCTCATCGCTGACGTCAAGGTACGTAGGCACGAGGGAGCCGCAGGCGTTGCCGTTCCTCGGGGCTGCCAGGTCTCATCTGCTTTCTTGTGGCGTTGGAGGTGGAAAGGCATTTGCCCGTAAGGAGACTGTGCTTGACGCTGATCTTGCCTCTGTCCTGCGCAAAGGGGGTGATGTGTCTGCAGGCTTGGTGTCCTCTTCTTCCTCTCTGTGAGGCTGAGGTTATACCAGCTTGTGCTGAGGACAGCCCTTGTTTGGATTTTGGGTCAGGGCTAGCAGGAGCAGTTACTGCTCCCTGCCAGCGTGGCTGAGACTCCTCTGGGGACGTTCTGGGCCCTGTCTGGGTCCCTTACGGGTGTCAGTGCAAGAGCGCTTGTTTGCCACGCGGTTCGTTTCCAGTTCTGGCTGTGGACTCCTTGCGCTGTGGGACACTGTGACAGTGGGAGCCCATTCCTTGCCTCAGGTGGATTTGGCCGTGTTTCTTTGGGTTGTTTGCAGAGGATGTGACCTTACGTTATATCCGTCTGTGGGGTTTTTTTTTCTTTTTTCTTTTTTTTTTTTTCCTTTCCCCTGCCCTGCTTTACACCCTGAGCTGTATCTGCCAGATCTGCTGTGCTGACTCCATGAGCTTTGGTGTTTTAGCCCTTTCGGCACTGAAATGAGAATGTCAGCCTCGCTCTATTCTCCAAAAGTCCATTTTAGTCCCTAAAACCACAGTTACCTTCTGCTCCCTTCCTTGCTGATGGTCATCTGTTCAGCTGCTTGACTGTACCAAAGCTGTCACGCAGATACAGCCATGGGTGCATCCTCGTCTTTGCTGTCATGTTTCTTTTCCAAGTGCTGTCTCCTGATCTTTTTTTTTTTATTATTTTTGGGGCGAGGGGGGGGGAGGGTGGGGGGTGGTATTTGGTAAATCCGGTGCTCTGCTGCATTTGGAGCAGAGGGTGCTGCTCTGGGGTCCCAGGGTGGGCTGTTGTTTGCAAGCTGAGCTCTGGTGGAGCTTGGCTGAAGGAGTGGGAGTAGGTGCTGGTAGTGGGCTGCAATTCTGGTTTCCTGTGGCTTTTTCAAGTGCGCCGTGTATGCCGTGGCCTTTGAGTACGCAGCGCGTGTGTTTCTGAGCCACTGCAGTGTGGTGGCTTCAGCCCTACCGCGGACCGTACAATGATGCTCTAAAGAAACTCACGCTGAGCTGCGAGCGCAGCGTTTCACCCTCGGACCAAGAAGTGTCGTCTGTTGGGTGGTTTGAAGGCAGAGCATTCAGGGTTGTCGGTGTTCAGCTGGGTTTTGAGACTTTTCAAAGGACTTGTTATGTTCTGGAGCTAACGGACATGTGCCTCTGGTTTTGATGTGACCCACCAGCGCCCCGTGTCCAGTTGGACCTCGCGGATGAGCTGCGGGTGAAAGTCCCTGCAGTCTGGTGAGAGCAAACCGCTTCCCTGCAGGACTTGTTCCATAACGCTGGCTGTCCTCTGAGGTTCAGAAGTATCCTGAGCTGCAGGACTCTGTCCCTCAGGACTAGTGGCCTCACAAGTAAAACCTGTGCTACAGGGTGTCCTCGAGGCGTGAAGGTCCTTAGTCATCAGGCTGCAGTGGCTGGAGAAAACAGGACAAGTTTGTCAAACTACAGCAAACCTCTACTTTCAAAACTGACATTTTCCTTAGGGGTGATGGAACTGGCAAATGTAGGCTGGCTTATAAAAACCTGAAAAGGGGTAAGATATTTCTAGCTAAACCTTTTAACTCCTCTGGTCACTGAAAAACCAAATGAGTGAAGGGTCTAATTTTCAATAACAGGAGCTTGTATGGAGAACACCTTATTCTATTTTATTTTTTTTTAAGGCGGGACAAGCTGTTACCAAGCCAGAGGTGTGGCTTATCTCTCCACCTGTAACTCATCATGTGGGGTACAGGTCCTATTTCAGTCGCGTTTCCTATATAAGCTTTGGTATAACTCCCTCCTCTAATAGCTTTTGTGTTCTTGTGCAACTGTAACTGACATCTCCCAGGACGCAGTCCTGCCGGGGCTGTGCGAAAGCTCAGCGCTTCCCTCCGCCGTTCTTTTTCCAACGCTCCTGCCTTCCCTCCCAGCTCGCAGAGGTATGATCTGTGGGGGATCTCTCGTGCTGCCCCCACCCCAGACCTGGATCCCTTCGGTTCATCTGCTATTTCTCTTTATGCACTAGTGGAAAACTACAACCTAATCCATCTTCAGTGACCTAAGCTAAACGGAAAGCCTATGTCCTCCACAGTGTCTTAGCCTGATTTTGGGAGCATCGGTCTCCAGCAGGTACTCTTACCCTTACGTCACCAAATGAGGTCATTAACAGACCTGGGATCTGGCCGAGAGGACTGTTGGGAAAGACCCGCTCTAGAGAACTGAAGAACCAATGTGTTTTCAGCACTCGCCAACTTTGCTGCCGTCACTACGTAGCTGTCTTCCAGTTAGGCAGACGCTGCGTTTTGGAAGGCTTTCGTGGCTGTGGCCTGCATGTGTATTTGGTCTGTCTGCTAGCCAGGGTCAGAACGTGGCGTTTTCTCATCGTAGACCCCAGACATGCAGGTAGTGACCTGGCACCTTGATCTCCCGTTAGATCAAACGTCCTACTGTGCTTCCTGCCACCTTCTGCTAACTGGTGTCCCTGGGCACACGGGAGCAGGCACGGAGCAGAAAAATGCTGCCTCTTCCCACAGTGTCTTATATAGTGATCGTAACTTCAGGATGTCCATGTGTTGGGTCCTGTGAAGAAATACGTTTCTGTGTCCTGTCAAGAGTTAGCCATCACATGGTGCGACACGACACTTTGGATGTGACAAAGATGTGCTTCCAGCTCCATGGCAGGCGAGATTGTCCGCCTTCTGAGACTCTGTAAACAAAGCTGCATCGAGCATCTTGGAAGAGCGTGTTGCCACCTCTGCCTCACCTGAACCTTTCTGGCTTTGCTTGTCTCCCTTGGAAAGCTCCTGGTGACACCACATCGCTGCCTTCTGAACCGGTGACCGGCAGCTGCTTTCCAGTGGCTTAAACGGGAGAGCCTGCAGAAATCAAAAAGGCTTCTAGCACCGCCTCAGGAGGAGGTCTGCCTTTGCCAAACGAGGTTGTGACGTGTCGCTTTGTAGCACTGTTGTCTTGCTGAAAAATCTCCATGCCTCCGTGCATGGCCTGGACTGGGGTTGTTGGAAAGATCGTTAGCAAAGAGGGAACTTCCGAGAGGTCCCATTATCTTTTGACTGCTTCAGTCCATCACTTCTGACCCCTCTTGGGGCGTGCTGGTTTCCTTCATTTAGGCTTCAGAGGAGCAGGAGGGTTCATGAGGCTTTGGCTTTAGAGCTGTCAGACCTGCTGTCCACTGACTTGTGGGGACCTGAGCCCACATTTCAACCATTTGCGTGCCACCGAGCCCTGCAGTAACTGGCACAAATGGGTTATATTTGGGCTGTGGATGGTGGTGTTGGAGCACCAAGCATTGTAGAAACAAGAAGAGCCTCTCCTAAAAATGCAGATCCTGTCTCCAGAACCTCGTCTCAAAGCCTCTGGTCTGGCATTGCCCACGTACCTGGTTCCGTGTTGTGCTGGGTCTCCCCGTGGTCAGAGACGTCTCCTCGCTCCTCTACAAACCCATGTTACTCCTCTCATTTGCCTGGTCTGCTCCTCCTGTGGGTCGCATCTGCCTGAAAACCTTCCCCGTGCCTCCTGCTCTCTTTTCCCTGCCCCAGTAAATCTGCCAGCTGGAATCTGCTTTCCCAAGACAGTTTGTTTCTCCAGGTGCTCCCATCTAAGAGAAGCGGCAAACATGTCAGCCTGCTGAAGCCCAGGGGTTGGAAAAGCGCTGATGAGCGCCCTTGGGAGGAGCGAGTGGTCTGAGGGCGCTCCGCTCCCTCTCCGTGGCCGTGGGGACAGTGTGCACGGTCTCCCATTTGCTGCAGGGAAGCAGGACAGAGAGAGGACTTGGTGAGGAACGGGGGCTGCCTTCACCAGCGATGGAAGAGGACGGCCAGGGTGGCCCGTGAGCTGTGCCGAAAAGGTCCCCCCTTGGTGGGACAGCAGTGGCCACCCTCCTGCCTGCGGGTCAGGTGAGACTGAACCTCAGTGTGAAGCGCTGAGCTGCGCTCGTGGCCCTCCTCCCCGTGCCTGTGCCAGCGGTGTGACGTCCATGAGATCCCTGACACGTCCACCATCGCTGTCCAAATGGGAGCGCCGCAGCCTGGAGCACGCGGGGCCAAAGACCCCTGCGCCGTCCTGCCTGACCGGGTGTCACCTCAGCCTGCCATCTCCATCTGATGTGCTTGACCTTGGCAACGTGACTGAGGAGCCACCCTGCACCTCTTCCGTGCTGGTCCAAACCACGCTGCAGGGCTGGGTGTCCCCAGTGCGATGCAGAGAGCGGGATCCGCGGAGAGCCTGTCCCAGGGGCCCGAGGGTGTCGTTGGCAGTTCAGGTGGTGACAGTCTGGACTCAGGTGTCCGCTCAGGGTGGCTCAGTGGCTTCCTGGGCTCTCCAGGGGCAGGAGACACAAAAGCTGAGGGCCAGCAAGATGTTTTGGCTGCAATCAGGAGTGGGAGCAGTCACTGTTCTGCTTTGGGGAGCTTGCTTTATCTCAAGAGCTTCCTCCATTTTAATTGCGGTGGTCTGGAGGCGGGGTGGGGGGTGTCTGGGGGAGCTGAGGTTGGTCGGGCAGACGTCGCTTCACCCGGTGTGGGTTTGTCCCCCTCTAGCGGTTAGGTCACCGGTGGCTTTGGGACTACAGCCGCTCCCAAACTTAGCTGACGGGATGCTTGTCAGGGAAGGTTCGTGCATCCAGGTCGGGAGGCTGCGGGTGCAGTCCCTGCAGCCCGTGTGGTTTTTTGGGGCTGATCTCCCGATCTCCTTTGCCTTCATTTTAAAAGCCCTTTCTCCCCGCTCACGCCAATGCTGTCTCCTAGATCCAGGTGGGTTCGGCTTCCAGCAGGAACACCCCCCCCACCCCCCCACCCCCCACCC